TCTTTGTTATGATTAATGAGTTTGTTAGATGTCTCTTGCTTATCAGGTTTTGTAAGGACTCGAGTGTGGAAGAACGAGACCACGCTGAGATGTTGATGGAGTATCAGGTCCTTGCCTAATGGGTTTCATGTTGTTATTATATGATTGATCTTAGTTTCTGACACAGTTTCACTTTTGTTTCGTGTGGTTTACAGAACAAACGTGGTGGGAGGGTTAGGTTACAGCCCATGGTGATGCCTCAGTCTGAGTTTGACCACGCTGAGAAAGGAGATGCTCTCTATTGCAAGCTTCAATTTCCCGTTTCTGAGATTGTGGATGAGGAAACAGTCTAAAGATTGTGACTTTTTAATTTGGACTTGTTAGAAATAATAGCTTTAGAGAGGTTGTGTGTTTTCATCATCAAGAGACATATGGTGATATGTTTATCTTTGTGGAATATGCATAGTGATGTTCTTTGTTTGTTGCAGCTATGGAGCTGGCTCTTTCTTTGGAGAAGTTAGTCAATGAAAAGCTACTCAACTTGCACAGTGTAAGACCATTTCTCCTTGGAACCATTTCTTGTCTTTTAAAAATTTAATGTTTTAATATACAAGTTGCATTTGAATAATGTGAACAACAGGTGGCTTCGAAGAATGATGATGTACAGCTTGCAGATTTCAGTGAGAGCAAGTTTTTGAACGAACAGGTAAAACAAAACACGTTCTATGTTAGTAGCGAAGACATGATATGATCTAAAGCCCTGTCAAAACCGAATCTAATGAAAGGTTAAAATAACATCACTTTCTCGCAGGTTGAGACTATTAAGAAGATCTCTGAATATGTTTCCCAACTCAGAAGACTCGGCAAAGGACATGGTAACCATTTGTTTTTTGTTTTTGTTCTATTTAAAAAATAATAACAACACGTTCCTCGTTTCGTCCACTTTCATGTCTAACTCTTTGTTTATGTGCTCTCAGCAACATGGCATTTCGATCAAGAGCTTTTGGAAGCTGCTGGTGCTTAAATCTAGTTTTGGTTGTAATCTCTTCTTATGAACTGCTGCTGCTTTGGCTGTAATCTCCTATATCCACAGTTGTTGCTTAGATCTTGTTTTGGTTCTGGAATGTTAAGCCTTTAGTTTTGTTTACAACTCTGATTCACAAACCTTTGACTCAACAACATCTTTGATTCTGTCAACGGTTGTTTGATATATGTGTGGTGCAAGACGGTGTTGAAATACTAAAGAAGCTTAACCTTATTCTTTTATTTTTTCCAATGGTTAACGAAAGTGACATCTTTTATATTACAAGGACTAGGGGACGAAAAACCCCGCACAAGCGCGGGGTTATTGACAATTAAAAATATTTAATAATAAAATAAGTGGATTCAGGTGATTTTTTTAGTCATAATGGAATTAACTGATAAAATAAAGTTTCATATGTTGCTCCTAAATAATTGAGATCTAAGCAAGAGATAGTCACCCACAGAAAAGGGTATTCAATCTAAATATTGGTTTGATTTTGATTTTTTTTTTTTTTTTGGTTTTTTGGTATTTTAGTTTATAAAGAAAACTACCATATTAAAATCATATTTAATTTGGTTTGATTTAGTTTATATATTATTGATTTTCAGTTTATTCGGTTTATACTAAAAAAAAAATTTAATTTATATTTTAAAATATTTTATGTATTTTACTTTATATAATTAGATACTGGTTTTATATAACATGAAGATATTTCAGTTTTTAAATAGACTATTTTTTTCCTTTTTATTTTACTATTTAAAATAATTAGTAAACATATTAAGTTAGTAATTATAATAATTTCTATAGAATATAAATTAGTAATCCATAATATTATAAATTAGTAATCCAAAATATTATAAATAACTAAATATTTACACACATAGTTTTCAAAAAAAAAATTAAAATTTATGTTTTCTATTGTTTAATAAAAATGAATCATAAGTTTTAACCAAAAATAAAATATCAAATTACTAAAACAAACATTTTAATATGAAGATCATATCAGCAAAATAAATTATATAATATATATTCTCAGTTAAATTATATAATATAGATATAATTATAGTATTATATTTAAATTGATCGGTTTATTCAATTTATTTGGTTTGATCGATTTATATACCAATCATTATTTATATACCCTTTCTTAATGACATTCATTCGGTATCGCCAAATCCAAATTAACATCTTTTCCTATTTCAGTTCGGTTTGGTTTCTATTGGTTCAGTTTACCAGATTGAAGACCCCTAGTGTCCACATTAAAAAAAAAAAAAGAAGATATGCATACTAAATTTAAAGATAAAATTTAAGTTATCATTAACTTTATTATGAGATTACTTGTGTAGTTTCGTTTACTTATAATTTTATGAAATTACTAAATCTAATATAGTCACAAGATTCCCACTATGCCAACCCCTATAAAACAAAGTGGGTAAGTAACTCAAAGTAAATAAAAAACGTCATTTCATACCTATTTATTTTATATGTTGTCCATTATAATACATAACCTTAGGAAAGACCAGGTAAACTGAAAGATGATAGATAGTCAAACATTACAGGCAACTAAATATGATTTAACAGGAAGGAGATTGGAGGTAATTTGGTCACAAGCGGGCATAGAAATATTTGAAACAAACTTAAATATGCCATCCACGTGTAATTGGTTCCCCTAGGTATAGTTTGGTGTGGTTTAGCTTTGTCATCTTGTTTTGTGGAAAGGCTTCAGCTATGGGATCTAGGGTTGGCTTCAGGCTTCGTTAAAAACTGTTTTAATGGGACGGGGAAAAGGTCACAAAAGGGAAAAAACCAGTGTATCAGAATCTGACACCGGAACATATCATATAATCTCATGAACTTGGGGAAAATATCTAGGCAAACTACCTTAAGGACTTAAACAAATCATATCGTATTCTAACCTTTTTAATCATCCACGAGTAGCCTAATAATGTTGATGGGTAGAGGAATGGTTGGATAACCTGTGACAAAACCCATGCTAAGGATCAAACACCAAAAATATTTAGGCAATGAAAGGCAAGACCTATGTGTAGTAGCACATCGACATTGGAACACTTGTTAACCACAGTTCTTTTTTTTTTTGGTCAACAGTTAACCACAGTTCAAAACGGTAAATACTTGGATATTTTCATAAATACATCAGGGAAGAAATAATCTTACCCAGAACTGCCACTGTGTCCAAATGCATAACCTCCATAGACTCCATATGGAGTATTACTACGACCACCAACCTGAAAGATATATGTCCAAAGAGTCTTAAACAGAGAACTGATATGCTGGAAAAAAACCATGTAAGGGAACTGATATGCTGGAAAATAACATCTAAGGGAACCTTTTAAGCAGATATACCCGCGCACCATGAGGTGAATAACCTTCAGCAGACAACCCACTTGAGCCATAACAACCAGGATAATGATTCCCGCATTCAGGTCTTCTGGTATCTCTTCTATCATATAGTCCAATCTATCACCAGCATATGGTTTTTGATAGAGGAAGAAACAATGGGATGATAGAGGAAGAAACAGTGGAATGGTTTTTGATAGAGGAAGAAACAGTACAATCTCTAAATTTTTCGATGAAGAAGAAGAGTCTCAACTCTAAAAGCAACTGATATAGTGACACAAGTCCATAAATAAAGCCTTGGAGGATTTACGGAAGGATAAAACCCCAAACGAAGAATTCGGAATCGATTAAAACGAATATCGATTGTATAAAACCCCAAACAAAGAATTTGGAATTCGGATTTCGGAATCGATTAAACCCCAAATCAGAAGATACCGACCCCTAGGAAAATCGATTGACAAACCCTAATTACTAAAAGCAGAAACCCTAAAATTTCCCCCAAATCGATTGCAAAACCAAATAAACCCTAAACACTGATATGCTTCGAATACCAACAATTAATCAACAAGATGAAGGTAGATACTTACGATGATTAAGAGATTTGATCGGATTCGAGTGGCTTCGAGGGGATTCGAGAGGATTCGAGAGGATTTCGCCGAAATCGCCTTTTCTCTCTTCACCTTTTTTTTTTATCGCAGATGATCGAGAATGATAGTTTTTTTTTTCCTCGCGAACCAAACCGATTTCTCGCCCCAATCATTCTATGCCACGTCGATAAGGACTCGTCGTGCAAAGTACCAATTTAAGGATTGCTCCTTAACATTTCCTCTTTTCAAAACGGAGCCTCGCACGTGTGGAGCACAAATCGAGACACAAGGACCCCGACTTTCATACCGTTGCGGCTGCTCTTAGTGGTAATTTAGTAATGGGCCCAAATCATATAATGGGCCTTTTCGACAACCCAATTAAAGTAATATGAAAATCAATCTTTGTCTCTACTGCCAAAAGCCCTGCTAAAACCCTTAACCCTTGCCGTTATACAAAAACTGTTCCCTCAAGCCAAAATCTACCGACTCGTTCGAGTTAGACGACTTTCCATTTTGCGAAAAGGTACATCCTTTCTCTAAACCCTTATTGATTTCTTGATTCTCCTTTACTTCATCTTCATCCCACTGTTTCTATAGCTCTGTAATTTTTCGTAGTAAAAGCACATATCGAAGGCTTGCAGATAAACGTCTAATTAAAACCACCCTAAAACCATTCATTGAGATTCAAAAAAGATCTCTGTGTTATAAGAATCTCTCTATTTCTTATCGACAATTCTAATGAATGGGACATTCTCTTTCTCTCTCTCTCTCTTTTTTATGCTTTTAACAATTTGATTAGACTCTAAATAGATCTTATCTGAATAAGTGAATCTGCTACTAGCAACAGTAGCTCTTAGTTACATGTAATATTAATTTAATGTTTTCTTAAGTTATAAACTGTTCCACAAGTTTTGTCTGAACAGTTTGGTACACTATGTTTATGAGCATCTAAATAGATCTTGTCTGAATAAGTTTCGTTTTTATGCGAAAAGATTACGCATCTACTTACTTGATATTGTTTTTTTGGGTTTAGTTTTGAATTTGAAGGAAAGATGGTGAGACCGTATGGGATTAAGGTGAACAACAAGAGGAAGGAGAGACACGAGAGGTATGATGAAGAAGAAGATGAGCAGCCTAAGTTTGAGGAGAAACAAAAACAAAAAGAAAAGGTGAAGAAGGCTAAAAGAGAAGCCACCTCAAAACCAGAGGAGGAGGAGGAAGATGATGAAGAGAAGGAAGAGATAGCTGAGGAAGCAGAACATGAGCTTGATGTTGGAATACCTGTTGTCGTGTCTGAAAATAACAAGGATCAGACTGGTGTTATCTTTGTGCTTGAGAAGGCCTCTCTTGAAGTTGCCAAAGTTGGAAAGGTAGTGTTTGCATTAACAACTTTGTGAAAAGATATAGTTTTTGAGCTAATGTATATATGTTTTTTCTTTCTTTTGCAGACTTACCAGCTACTAAACTCTGATGATCATGCTAATTTCTTGAGGAAGAATGGCAGAGATCCTGCTCACTACAGGCCAGACATCACTCATCAGGTTTGGGCTTTTATAATTCTTGTAATTACATGTTATAAATAAAATTGTGACTCATCTTGAGTGATCTTTATCTATTCAGGCTCTTTTGATGATTTTGGATAGTCCGGTCAACAAGGCTGGGAGGTTGAAAGCTGTTTATGTTAAGACAGAACAAGGTGTTCTTTTTGAAGTTAAGCCACATGTTCGTATACCAAGAACTTACAAGCGGTTCGCTGGAATCATGCGTGAGTTCTCCTGTCTTTTCTTACTTTAACCTCTCTGGTTACTTTTGTTTATTAATCCAACGTTGTGGGTTTTTTGCAGTGCAATTGCTACAGAAGCTTAGCATTAGTGCATCTGGCAAGCGTGAGAAACTTTTGCGGGTGATCAAGAACCCTGTTACAAGCCACTTACCGCCTAACTCTAGAAAAATAGGTAAATAGAAAAGTCTATTGTTTCCTCTCACACATTTAGTCTTTGTATCTCGGATTAGGATTAAGCTAAATAGAAAGGATTGTTTTTTTTTTCTATCTTTTATCAGGCTTCTCGTATAGCTCTGAAAAGCTGGTCAATATGCAGAAGCACCTATCTACTGTCTGCAATGAGACCGACACTGTTTTTGTGGTTAGTGAACATAGATAGGCTTTTTATCTTTCAGCATACATATAAACCAAATCCTGATCAAAGCTGTGTCTTCTTTTTCCTTCCTATTGCAGCTTGGTGCGATGTCACACGGGAAAATAGAGTGTGACTATATTGATGATTTTGTGGCCAGTAAGTCCGTCTTCCTTAACTCATCATCCTTTGTTTAAAAGAAATTTAAACAGCAAATGATCTAAAAGAGGTTTCTTGTTTCTTGGTTGGTTTCTTCAGTTTCAGGGTATCCTCTTAGCGCAGCCTACTGTATCTCAAGAATCTGCGAGGCTTTATCAACAAACTGGAATATAATATAAAAAGAGTATTAGCAAGAAGGTCCCTTTTGTTTTTCTCCCTACTGTTCTAATGGTGGAATCAGTTTAAGTTTGTGTGTTGTAAACTTTGTTTAATCTATTATTGTTTAAGCTCTAGAATTAAGGAAAGCCAACTCTTTATCAAATTAATTTTATTAATACTACTAGGGCCGGGCCGGCGCTACTCAATGTAGCTGGCGGTGCTGTCTGGCCAGTCTTGAATTAGCAACTGTAATTGCCAAAAAAACAGAGCAATTGTTTTTAGAAATGTAAGACAGTAATAGCTATCAGTATTATAAATATTCTACCCTTCAGTTGAGCTTCAGGGGATACGTGTGTCGATAAGGAGGCTGTGGTTACTGGTATGTTTAGATGTTGGGAGGAAGTGTTTGTAGGATCTAATCCTGGAGGAAGCGAGACTGAAGGCAAGCAGTGAATTAGAGTAAGTATTTGCAGGTTATAAGCTTTTGCAATTGTGGGGAGGTAATAAATCAAGCTGTTTATGACACCTATTTTCTTTCTATGTCTTCTTGTTACAGATGAGGATGAGGCTGTTGAGTGTTCAAGTACGCTAAGTTGGTTTGTAGGTCCTCCTCTCTTTTCCTTGCGTATAACTTCAGCTGGATTCTTGACCATTGTTTGTGTGAAACGTGTTGAATTTTTTAAATGAAGCTTTGTGAGGTTGCAACAGAGTTCTTTAGAGGTAGGGTGTGGAGCGTTGCGTCTGTAATGTCTGCCTTTATCTGCTTATCTATTTCAGAACTTAGGAGTTGTATAGGCAGCCTTCATCGGTTACGTTAATATTTAGGAAGTATGATAGTAAGACGTTACATGTGCTGAACATGAATGGTTACTTAATGCTGGAGATGTGTGCTTGTGTTGGACGGCTAATGATGTTGACGTATTTTACGTGGCAGAGTGTATTAACTTGTACCTTGTTCTGCAAGAATATGTTTTGCATTTGTCTGAGTTTTTGGTTTTGTACGTTGTTGAAATTTGAACAATCTTTAAACATTAATTATTTGTAGTATAAAACCAATGTAAGTGCAGTATATTTTTTTATAAGATTGTAGTTTTGATTATATTTTAATCCACTTTAAGCAAACATAAACACCGCTTCATTATTAGATCTTATAATAGTCTTGAATGTACAAAATGTCAAAAAAATAAGTATCTCAGGTTTGCAGGAAATTATTGTCAAAAAATTTACTTATAAGTTTGTAGTTTCATTTATATTTTAATCCACTTTAAACAAACAAAAACATCGCTTCATAATCTTTATAAATAAATTAGATCTTATAATAGTCTTGAATGTACAAGATGTCAAAATAAGTGTCTCAGGTTTGCAGGAAACTATTGTCAAAAGATTTACGGTTTCCTAATAGGAATGTGGTGAAGTAATAGGAATGTAGTGGTACAGACACTTGACGTGTCTTGGACATAGTATAAGGCGAAAGAGAGAGGCAAGAAATTTGAGGTACAGGAGCAGACTACAAACTGATACTCTCTTCGTTTCAAAATATATGTCATTCTAGGCTTATTTTTTTTATCACAAATTAAGTGTCATTTTAAAGTTTCGAGACAAAATTGATTAGTTTTATATAATATTCTATTTTCTATAGGTTAAAAAGTGGTTAGGTGTATAGGTAATTGTGTTTTTATCTTGGAAATATGTAAAATTAAATATTTCCTTAATCCGTGTGCAAAAACCTAAAATGACAAATAAAGTGAAACGGAGCGAATACCATTTATGAATGGAATGTTCTTTCTTTTATAGTTACTCTGCTGAAGAAAATTCATATGAGAACGTAAATGGAGCAGCTTTAAAATCTTAACAATCAAAGTTAGGAAAATGATTAAGCATTAATAATGTAAACATCAACCACCATAAGAGTCTTGAAAAAGAAAATAACTCATTGGAAAAACATAAGTCTTAAAACATACAAGCAGTAGTTCGAAAAATAAAGTGGTTGGTTGTCTAAGTGCCCATAGCTAAAAATAAATGACCAAAATATCATTTTTTATTTTAAAAAGTTTAAGTTTTTTTAAATTCGAAATCCTATCTCCAAAAATCTACTCCTCAACTCTAAATAAAAAAATCTAGGATTAGTTAACCCAAGAGATATAAATATATATTTAATAAAACATTTAAATGCTATTTTGGTCATTTTAATTGTTAAGGTCTATATTTGTGATAAAAAAAGAAATTTAGGTCTATTTTAGTCATCTCTTTTAAAATTTTTGTGTTTGAATAATTAATTTAAATAAAATTTATCAAAATGATAAAAATATATCCGCGCTTTTAAAGCGCGGGTTAAAATCTAGTTATGCAAATTAATAGAAGAGTTTATAAGTGTTCGGAGCGACATGGTTAAGGAAAATACAGTCAAACTTAATTACTCAAGTTAAAAGAATTACAAAGTTGAATCCTAAATTTTCTTTTTAGCAAGAACCTGAGAAAAAAAACAACAAAGATATAATGGGCCTAAATCATATAATGGGCTTAAATCATAAAATGGGCCCTTTCCATGAAACTATTAACGGATGTGAAATTCAATATCCGTCTCACACTATGCTAAAACCCTAGCTCCCAAAACCCTTAACCCATCGAGCCGTTATATATAAATAAAAACTGTTCTCTCACATCATCGGAGCCAAAATCTACAGACTCGTTCGAGAAGACGACTTTCATTTTGCTAAAGGTACATCCTTTCTCTGAACCCACTTTATATTCTTGATTCTCCTTTACTTCAGCTTTGATCCGATGAGTTCTATAGCTCTGTAATTACGCAAAAGCACATATCGAAGGCTTGTAGATAACGTATACTTAAACCGCCTGCGAGCTCAATATTTGTGCGAAACCCTAAAACCATTCATTGAGATTCAAAAAAAAATCTCTGTGTTATAAAGAATCTCTCTATTTCTTATCGACAATTCTAATGAATGGGACATTCTCTTTCACTGCTTCTTATGTTTTTAACAAGTTGATTAGAACCTAAATAGATCTTGTCTGAATAATTGTATCTGCAACTAGCAACAGTAGCACTTAGTTACATCCTAATATTAGTTTAATGTGTTCTTAAGTTATATATAGTTCTAAAGTTTTTGTCTGAACAGTTTGGTACATTATGTTTATAAGAATCTAAATAGATCTTGTCTGAATAATTGAATCTGCTACTAACAAACAGTAGCACTTAATTACATCCTAATATTAGTTTAATGTGTTCTTAAGTTATATATATATGTATATAGTTCCACAAGTTTTTGTCTGAACAGTTTTGTACATTATGTTGATGAGAATCTAAATAGATCTTGTCTGAATTATGGAATATGCTACTAAAAAACAGTATCACTTAATTATATCTAATATTAGTTTAATGTGTTTTAAGTTATATATATAGTTCCACAAGTTTTTGTCTGAACAGTTTGATACATTATGTTAATAGATAGATTCTTTGTTATTAAAACATTTTATGCAGAGATTTAGGATTAAAAGTTGCTTAATCATAAACTTTGTTAATTGACAGGATTTGGAGAATCTGTGAAGAGATGGCAGGAAAAATGAACCCGAAGGTCTTCTTCGACATTTTGATAGGAAAAAACAAGGCTGGTCGTGTTGTAATGGAGCTATTCGCTGACGCAACACCCAAAACAGCAGATAACTTTCGTGCTCTATGCACTGGTGAGAAAGGTATTGGGCAAGCAGGGAAGGCATTACACTACAAAGGGTCAGCTTTTCACCGTATAATCCCAGGGTTCATGTGCCAAGGAGGAGATTTCACACGTGGGAATGGAACTGGTGGAGAGTCTATTTATGGGGCTAAGTTTCAGGACGAGAACTTCAAGTTGAGACACACTGGTCCAGGGATTTTGTCTATGGCTAACGCAGGTCCCAACACGAATGGTTCTCAGTTTTTTATTTGTACGGAGAAGACGCCTTGGCTTGATGGGAAGCACGTGGTGTTTGGGAAAGTTGTTGATGGGTATAATGTGGTGAAGGAGATGGAGAAGGTTGGGTCTGAGAGGGGGACTACTTCTGAGAAAGTTGTGATTGAAGATTGTGGTGAGATCAAGAATGAATGTTCAGAAGAGGTTTCAAACAAGGAATGAAAGTTCATAAATCTCAAATATTATGTTGTGAAAGATCTTTGAGATCAAAACCGTATGAAGTGATTGAACCTTCTGAGTTTTTTTTTTTTTTTTTGTTTTCAAAAACTCAATGTAAAAGAGTAGGATGGGTAATAATAATGGAATCACTCCTATGTTTAATATTTGGTTTTGGTTTCATGGCCTCTTTCGACTTCACCAAACTAGATGGTAACTAATGTGAGGACCTCTCTGTAATGTTGTAGTAAAATGTTGTACTCCAAATGATGTAGAACCAAATGTGGATCGTGTTAAAAAGAAAAAAATTATTTATCATCTTATAGTTAGAAAAAAAAAGTTGATTGTGCGACTTGTGAGAAGTATCAATACTCAACTTTGTGGACAGTAGACCGTTCTTAAAGAAAATACACCTACCAGTTTGCCTTTAAAATTAATTATATATTTGCAACAACAAAAAAAACTAACCAACTCTTTGGTATAAGTTCATTGTCATCCAAATCATAAGACCATTGTTCAATGTTCTAAACATTGGTTATAGTTTTGCACACTTATTGACCACTGCAGTGGCTAGTTGGAGTTGCAGAATGCTCCACGACCTCATCACGTCATTGGATTGGGTCAGATCATCATAAGTTTCTTTTTTGGAGTCAGGTTTGACATAACATTTCATCATGTGCAGTTTTTTCATCCATGAATTTGGACCAGTTTAATTAATCTATGGGCCATGTTGTAATAGAGCAATTTGCAAATTTTATAATCTCTGAAATAATGATCTATGAAGATTGTTGTGAGCTCAAATACCAAAAGGTCATAAATTTAGGAGATAACATCTTGAACTTTCTGTGTTTTCATGTTTTTTGGCATTTGTTGTAACATCCCTCATTTTGATATAAGATAAGGTTTAAAAAGATTATTTTGATTACATATATCACCAAAGTTGATTTACATTTTTCGTCGCACATGCGTTTAGAATTCTAGAATTAAGTATATTTGAACTGCAGCAGTAAAAAAGATGAGTGACTTATCGAAAGTGACGATACTGTGTGAGTGAGGCCAAAACATGAAAAAAAATCATGTGGTAATTGCAAGATTAATAAACAATGATTTCAAGTTATTAGAAAAAGTAATGCACCGACCGTTAGAACGAGATGGGTCCATAGGCCAAGAGAGCGAACGTGGATGACTTATTAGCCATAGACGATCGGGACGTTACAAGTGGTATCAGATCTGGTTGCCATTTCGGTTCTGATCCGAGAGGTGTTTTGAGACCTGTCCTGGGGCGCAACAAGGACATTTTTAGAGGGAATTAATTGTAACATCTCGAGTTGTAATATAAAGAAAAACTTAAGAGGATTGATTTGACTACCTATATCACTAAAATTGATTTACTAACATCTCGAGTTGTTTAAGCTAGAGTAGTGTAATGATGGATGGATGATCTATTAGAAAGTGATTTGTGTTACAAGCCAAAACATGGAGAAAGATCATGTGTTGATTGCAAAGTTAATATACAATCATTTCGAGTCATCGGAAAATTTAACGCACGACTTTTAAAACGGAATGGACCCACAAATCGAAAAACGGACATAAATGACTATTAACCATAGACGGCCGGGACATTACATTAGTATTGGTTCCGCATAAACCAGACTCTCGTCGGATTCACTTGTGAACTTGTATATAAGCAAAAACTATACAAGTGCTGACTTTTTGAAATAGGCAGATTATATGCACAACAAGACAGACTTTCTGATCACGTGTGGATTATCATATAGTCATTATTTCTTTTATCCTGTGAGTACTTTGCTATGTGTATTTTTCATCATCAATACGCGAATACCCACCAATATTTTGAGTACAATTTTCTTAGAAATAATTACATGTATACATACTTTTTTGTTATCAACTTACATCTAGACATACTTTAAAGCATGTCACACACTTTCTCTTGACAAAATACCTGAAAAACCCTTTTGACTCTAACTAACTGAAAACGTGAGTTAAGGTTATTCAGTCAGTCCTCTTTCACATTTACCATTAAACTTTAATGTGTAACTCTCTAATCTGTTTTCTCTCTCTTTTTCATCTCTCCCACATATCTCTTTCGTCAAACATCAGATCTCTTTTTCTAATGGCTGAATCTATCATTTTTTCCTTTTCTCCTTCTTTCTTCATTTTTCATCCTTCATTCATTCTTTTTTTTCCTTCTTTCCTTCATCTCCTTCTCTGTTTTTTTTTTCTTATCTCTTTCAGATCTGTGAATCTTTCAAAACAACACTACCACCTTGATTCGTTGCACGATTATTATCACCACCACAACTTTTTTCATCGCCATAACTCTTTCCGCCACACTTGCAGAACCACCACTGCAATTCTTTCCCTACCATTTCTGAGAAAACTCTGAACACATGAACACAGATCTTGTACACATCAACATTGATCCTGACCACATGAACACTGACTCTAACTCTGACCATATAAACCCTGATTCTGACCATATGAACACTGACCCTAACCACATATCTTCCAACAACCACGTATCACCAAGCCAAGCTTCACCAGCCAACGTTTAACCCAACCACCCTTCACTCAACTACACTTTTCCTAACAAGGAAAGGCAACAAGCACCACTGCAGGTATCCTCATCTATCAAATCAGAAGTTCCTATCAAGCCAGACATGGGCGACCAACATCCACATCATTTACGCAGAAGAACAAATAGGTAATCGTGATTGTTATTTGAATTTAAAAAATGTTGACCACACCATATCTAACCACACATTTTATCTGGATGGTACTTGCTTTTACACCAATCGTTCGATTGAAGTTTATCACACTTTAATCTAACGGTTCCCATTAAAATACACTACTCAATAAACTTACCAATTAACTACAAAAAAAAAGAAATTAATTAGTGTTTACTTTTACGACCTAAGTCTTGTTTCCTCCAAGGATATTTTGGAAATAGAAAATCAAAAATTGTAGTCTTAAAGTACACCTCCAGCAGAAAGTACCTCAACCTGTTAAAGGTGCAACAGAAGGTAACCCATGATGTAATGCTCTCATTTTCTTATACAATCTCCAACTACCAGTTTTCCCTTGCAATTAAAAGTGTACCAAACTTTTTCGTAGTATAGCTTCAATAGTTGACGCATTCATGTTTACCGGAGCTGACACCACATAGCTACTATGATATTGCGTTCAAGAAAAAAGCTACGATGACATTAACATGTACAAACTACAATACTATATATTATACTTACTAGTCACCGCTAAAATAAGACTAAAATGAAATAGGGTTCATCTTGACCAATACAATTGGAATTGCACATAGTCAACCGCCGTCCTCCATCTCAAACCGAATCACTTTACTGGATATAGCAAAATATTTCCAACCATTCAACTTAATTAGTTAAACTATGGACAACTAGTTCTACGTTCTACCTTGTAATTAACTAACTGTGGACAAATCTAGTTTTCAAAATTGTTGATAAATAATATAGAAATAGCGAACAGTTTTTTTCTTTTATGGTCAAGTTTAATGTTACATATGTAATAGTTGCATTATAATAATAAGTTTCATTACTCAAAAATTTATGTATATATATTTGAGTTTTCTGTTGATGTCGTTCATGCAAAACGATGCTTCTGAATATGATAAAACACAGTAAAATGTATAGATGATATTTCCTCTATTCTTAAAAAATCCACATTCTAATTTTTTTCACATTTTTTAATAAACACAATAAATTTACATAGTTTTTTGTATTTATCTTTTTCCTAAATTTTAAATTAATAAAAAATCAATTAGTGCAATTAAGGTTTTTGAAATTTACAATTTGTGAATAAAACATGTATTGAAAATATAAAAAAATGAATCTTTTAAAAAAATTTTTTTTCTAGAATATGTATCTTTAAAGAATGGGAGTAACATTTAAAACCGCGAGGTGAGTAAGAATATCAATAAATGAAACAACAAACAACTTTTGAACATGTGATCTTTTCCTGTAATGTGTTCTCTTAATATATAAATGGACAATTTTATCAAATAAATTACCTGAAACCCAAGTGTTATATCCCATAACATAATCATTAACCATAATTTTGATTAAACTTCCATATAAAAATTACATGGTTAGAAATATGTCCATATAGCTATATAGATATATAAAAAAATTGTAGTTAAAAAAGATATATAGAAAATATGTAGACAAGAAAGCGAATTATATAATAGCGGCGTAGTAACACCGACGACTATTTATTACAAAATTAATTAGTGAAAACAAAAGCTATCTACTAGTGGAAGATATAGACTCAATTAATGGGGCCAGAAATTAATGGTTTGAAAAGAAGAAACCATGTTGCACAGAGAAGAAGAAGAAGAAACCAAAAGTCCAAAGCCACCATCGAAAGACTTGACCGTAACCAAGTTATACGTTTCCCTTCTTCATATTTATATATAGCGCATGAACCCTAGTCTTTGTTTGCAAACCAAATATAAATTCTTGAGCGGTATAAAGAATATAATATTAACAATATAATGGATTTTCGTATTTTCCCATCATGTCGGTTTATTCTCGTCGCAATTTTCATCTTCCACGGCTCGTGTTATTCAGATGAAGGTACACTTATTAATTATTTCATAATCTAACAACCATTCAATTAATACATTTTTACTATTTGTGAACTGATTCCATTTTTCTTGAAATGTTGTTGTTATGAAGCTGGAAACTATAGATTTATGAAAGATGCTACATCAGCACCAACGTCATCTCACTTTGACTACATAATCATCGGAGGAGGAACCGCCGGATGTGCACTAGCCGCAACGCTCTCTCAAAACGCAACCGTTCTAGTCCTCGAACGCGGCGGGTCACCTTACGACAACCCAACAGCCACAGACATCGGCAACTTCGCAAACACACTCATAAACATAACTGACCCAAACTCCTGGTCGCAGCTGTTCATCTCCGAAGACGGCGTTTTCAACGCACGCGCACGCGTGTTAGGAGGAGGAACGGTGATAAACGCTGGCTTCTACTCACGTGCGGAAGATGAGTTCGTTGCGGAAGCTGGTTGGGATAGAGACGAGGTCGAAGCGGCTTACGAGTGGGTGGAGAGGAAAGTGGCGTTTGAACCGTTGGTTGAGAGATGGCAAACTGCGTTTAGAAACGGGCTTTTAGAAGCTGGTGTGGTTCCGTATAATGGTTTCACGTACGAACATGTGTATGGGACGAAAGTAGGCGGTACGATATTTGATAGAAATGGTCATAGACACACGGCGGCTGATTTGTTGGAGTATGCTAATCCAAGTACACTTGTTGTCTACTTGTACGCTTCTGTCCATAGAATCCTCTTCGCCAGTAAAGGTATTGGTTCATATTAAATGCATGCATGTGATGTCAAACAAATTTAAAGAAAATGTATGTGTTCATAATTGAAGATGGAGACGGCATGAATCGTTTAGGGTTAGAGAGAGAGACGTAGCTCACACGTAACCAATCTTTTGTTTTCAATACAACTTGTGTTGTTAGTAGTTGAGAGGTGGTTTGTGACAGGTTCCTTTTAAAAAGAAATATCTAGCCAGGAAACAAAAACAAACCAAAAATATATTTTTAACACTTGCTTATTTTATTAAAATTTTATTCGTTTATCTAAAGAATAAGGACATATATATATATAGTTAAGAAAATATTATAACATGAAAAGTGTTAGTATTGTATTTTAAACAATAACCGAAGAACTATGTTTAGTTAATAAGAGCAAGTGCATTGGTGTTTCTCAAAGAAAAATCCTTAGCATTATTTAAATAATTTTTTTGTTTTTCTGAATAGTTAAGGATGCTAATCTAAATTTTCATTCCAATGGTGTTATCCAATAAATAATCCTTAGGAATAAAATAATAATAAACATGGTCCGATGAGTCAAGGTTGATTGGAGATTGGCTATTGAGAAGATTAACAAAATCGGAGGTGGTATCTTTAACACTTGCTTATTTTATTAAATTTTTATTCGTTTATCTAAAGAATGAGGACATATTTATATAGTTAAGAAAATATTATAACATGAAAAGTGTTAGTATTGTATTTTTTAAACAATAACTGAAGAACTATGTTTAGTTAATAAGTAGTTTTTAATCAATAATGTGAATAGTATTTTTCTCTTGTCAGCTACAAATATTTTTTGGTCAGCTCCCCATTTCTTCGACTACAACTTCTTAAATGCACATTTACAAATTGAAATTTTGGTTATGAGAAGATTATAAATAATACTAACTGACACGATGAATTTAAATAATTAAACAAAAATAAAATTTATAATAGAAACTTCTTTTTACAACTCTAAAATCTCATTTCAAATCCAAATTGTGACCATACACATTTGTATCTATCATTTGGATACACTACAGAAAATTCAAGGCCCAAGGCATATGGGGTGATATTTCGGGATGCAAATGGAGTGTTCCACACAGCTGAACTCGCAGTACAAGACGCAATGAGTGAGGTGATCTTATCAGCAGGTGCCATCGCAAGTCCACAACTATTGATGCTGAGTGGTGTAGGCCCCGCGGCCCATCTTGCAGACCATGGGGTGAATCCAATCATCTTAGACCACCCAATGGTTGGACAAGGGATGGGTGATAACCCGATGCACCCGGTCTTCGTTCCTTCTCCTGAACCCGTCGAGGTGTCCCTTGTCCAAGTCGTTGGGATCCCCAAGTTTGCTAGTTACATTGAAGGTGGAAGTGGCTTAAGTCTCTCCATTAGTTTGACTCGTATATTCTTCAATGGCGTTTTGGATCTTCTTAATAAGGTGAAAAAGATTGCACTTGTTCATTTAATACACTAAAATGTTATAAATTTTGTTTAACATAAGGTTTTTAAATGTTATCTTTTTACTATGCAGCTAAAGTTACCTAGCCAAACTATCTCAAACCTTTTGAAATCTTTTGATCTTGGATTAAACGTGACTACACAAGCGGGTGTGATTGTACATAAAGTGTCTGGACCTCTCTCGAGAGGTCACTTAGAGCTGCGGAACACAAATCCAGATGATAACCCTTTAGTGACATTCAACTACTACCAAGACCCAGAGGATTTGAATAACTGTGTTAAAGGACTTAGTGCTATCATAAATGTGATAGATTCCAAGGGATACTCCAGTTACAAGTACCCTGGAGTGAACGGGCGGGGACTTTTGAATCTCATTCTTGCTCTTCCTATCAATCTGAGGCCAAGGCACATAACTTCGACGTTCGATTTGAAGCAGTATTGTATGGATACGATAATGACTATTTATCATTACCATGGAGGTTGTCAAGTTGGAAAAGTGGTCGATAATGATTACAAAGTATTAGGGATTGATGCTTTGAGGGTCATCGATGCATCCACATTTCTCAAGTCTCCAGGGACTAATCCTCAAGCCACGATCATGATGCTAGGAAGGTAAAACATGCATAAACCTAATGAAACAAACTTATCAAGACATTTTATTTTGATATAAGATGTGACTGTTAGAGAGTTATAAAATGTGTAGGTATATGGGGCAGAAGATTCTTCAAGAGAGGGAGGCTTTCCGAAGATAAGAAACAAAAAAAAAGAACATATATTTTAATGATTGTCAAAAGTCTGGAGATAATTGGAACAATCAACTTCCGAAGAAAGGTAATTATGATGGCAGTATGAGTCTAGTGTATATCACATATTACAAATATCTCTTTACAAGGATATGTATATGTAATTTTTTTTAAACAGAAAAATGTGAATGCATTTTGTTCATGAACAAAGTGATTTATTGATGTTGTTATTTATTAGAAATCTTGACCAGAAAATGACCTGAGGTTGCTAGATATTTTTTTTTGTATACATCGTATATATTGTTATGTTATGATCTTAGAAGCCAAATGATTTTACAGATCACCATTTAGAAATTAATTAAGACGAATGTGTATAATGACCACTGACCACTGATTATTTTATATGGAATGTCATCTCTAAAAAAGTATAATTTAGTTTTTTTTTTAAGATGAAAATAGAATCTACTCCGGTTCGTATGTTTGTCAGAATTTAGAAAATGTGTTTTTCACTTCTGATACAATTAGCATAACATTTATGAATATATATTTGTTAGTAAGGGTTATGGTAAGTGAAACAACTCACAACTAATGTAAGTATTATGTTCAAGGTGTCAAAACGTGTAAAATATGTACGATGTAGCATTGTGAAATGGATGGAGAAACATGGACCATGAGGGGGATTACTTGGATGGGTTATAACTATATAAATTTTACTGTAAAATTTAGTCTTTATAAGTTTATGATGTAGTTTTATCTAATATATCTGTAATAACTAAACGAGAAAAAAATATTCTTATAGCAATTTTACTTTAATTTTAAAAACTATTAAAAACTTGATTGATGATTTATGTGGTTGTAAATTGAAAATAAAATTAAAATTATTATTTACAGGATTTAACTTACAGTTCAACCCAACCAATCTCACCCATATCTATATTATTAAAGCATGATCCTATTGTTAAAATTTTGGATTCTGCCCCTAGATTTTTATCACATTTATAAGATAATACCACTATTTATTTTTAGAATCTTAATTAATTAAATAATTTAATATCTCCTATATTTATGGTAACTGATAATATTTCCTATTTTTTATGATTAATAATAATTTTCCTTTTGAAAATTATGATTTTCTATTTAGTTTTAATATCATATTTCCGTGCATCATATTATTTAGCGATAAAAAATTATAAATTATTTTTTACTGTTTCATTTTATCCATATAATGATATGTCAATTCAATTTGTTTTAAAAACTAAATTTTAGATATAAAATGAGTAAAAATGTAAACTTATCATAGGTTATTAATATCGAAAAGAAACTAATATTGTTATATGAATAAATTGTGCTTTTTTCTGTTGCCATTGTTTCATTTTTTCAAATGACAAGCAAGTTTTTATTAAAGAAATTACAAAAAATCAATTTTCTTTAATATTAAAAATATGAATTATTTAACAATTTTTTAAAAATATATTATCAGTTTTTATGGGGTTATTTAACGGATCAACGGATATCATAATACAGATTAATAGTGAGTTTTAAGATATATACCGGGTTGGCTTAAATTTTTAATTAGTAAAATTTTAATTAAATATTAACTGGATTATATAAACATTGCCGGATGTACCGGTTTAACTATGGATCTGGGTCGGATATGGAAACATTACGTGAAAATCAAACATTATAATAGAACTTTTTTAAATATTAATAAAACAATTTTAAAATTTTTGTGTTTGAATAATTAATTTAAATAAAATTTATCATAATGGTAAAAATATACCCGTGCTTTTAAAACGCGGGTCAAAATCTAGTATACATTATTAACTATGTTTTTGTCTTCGTTCACTATGTACAGTTATTTTTTTAATTTAAATCATATTAAAAAAAAATTTATCAATATTTTAAATTTTATTATCTTTATATCAATATTTTAATATATATTGATTTAGTTAAACCTAAAACTAAGATTAACTGATCAATTTAATTAGTAGAC